GATGATGTTCAGCAGGTACACTGTTGGATTAAATGAATTTGGTTTTTTGGTTGATCATCCCGCCCTGCCGCCTCCTAGTTTTTTTTTTTTTTTTTGTTGTTGTTTTTCAGTCTGTGATCTAAATTCCTCGAAGAAAAGTTTGTTTGATCACGGCTTCTTTCTTCTCACATTTACCAGTCCACCTTTTCACCACACAAGCAGACACATTGTGTTGAACTAAACTGATTTACATAGTTTTCTTGCTTTTTTATTTGCGGCCACGGTCACTTCCTTGTTCCTCAACTCGTTTTTTTTTCTAGTCTGGTACACATCACAACATTTGTTAAAGAGGTCTTCATACAATGCTGCTCATCAAGGGGAGACCACAGTTTAAACGACTGATAGTGACGATATCTAAGATGGAAATAAAAACTACAGTGGGTTTTTGAGTGCTTTTGTAGCATTGATTTCTGATTGATTTTTATTCAATTAATTAGACTGAAATATTTTGAAAATAAAACGTTTTTGTCAAGAAGAGCAGGTTTTCATGAGACAATGCTTATTATTGAGAAGAAAATGGAGAAAAAAATACATGTAAGCACTGCTATTTTCCAGTGTGGTTAAATAAAATTCTAAAACATTCTAGCTTGGATATTAAGTTTTGTGATGCTGGTTGAACTGTGCTGCTCCTGTTTGCCACTCAAGGTCTGATGAGCCATTTTAAAAACCTGAATTTTTACTTAAATAAAATCTCTCTCCCTCCATTATGATCTCGGCTTGTATGCATTATATATCCGTTTGTATCTTGTGTCCAGTTCATGCAAATCTGTTTTGATTGACGTCAATCTAATAATTGTATTAATTTTGGCGAACTCGTTTGCTGGGTAAATGACATGATTGCAGGTGTTGGGGCTTTTAATTTGAAATTCTAATACCGGAAACATCCCAACCTTAGCTCTACGCTGATTGGCTGGCATGCGTACACTTCCTGGGAGTGGGAACTTGGGAAATGTAGTTTTTTTTTCTTCCATTGCACTAGTTCTGGTCATGTTCAGCTTCATTTCGATTGTTCTGAAGAGCCGTCGAGAACACAGCAGTTCGTTCAAAAGAAACTAAAATGCCGCGAGTTTACATTGGACGACTGAGCTATCATATCCGTGAAAAAGACGTTCAACGATTTTTCAGCGGATATGGAAAACTCATGGAGATTGATTTGAAAAACGGGTGAGTTTTAAGGTTGTAGTATGAATGTGGTGTTAGCTAAAGTTAGCGTGCGAACGACGTCACTTAAAGAACATTCAATGGTTTTAGGGATATTTTTCCACTTTAAGATGCGAGTTCGATCAAATATTGGGGTATGAGTGCAATTTTAAGAATTATTTATTTCTTATATCCTAATATTGAAGTATTTTAAAATTTTAATTCTTGTCTGTTCATCAAATGTCGCATGGCCAACATGGCGCCTTCATTGTGGGCCGAGGGCCTAGCTAGCGTGCTACTAGCAAGCTTACGTATCAAGCGATTCGCTGTGTTTTATTCCTTACTGAAGTTCATTTTAATTGTTTTTATGTGTTTATGTATTTGTTTCCTTTTTGTAGCTATGGATTTGTGGAGTTTGAAGATAACCGGGATGCTGACGATGCCGTATACGAGCTGAACGGGAAGGAGCTGTGCGGAGAGCGCGTGATCGTTGAGCATGCCCGGGGCCCGCGGCGAGACCGGGAGTCCTACGGCGGCGGCGGTGGTGGTGGCGGCGGCGGCGGAGGAGGAGGAGGAGGAGGTGGTGGAGGAGGCGGAGGAGGAGGGGGCTACTGGGGTGGTGGGCGCAGTAAGTGCAATCTTTGTACAACGTACCCAACTCTTTTTGTCCCTCTTCTGTCGATGTGAACAAGCGGCGTTCAGACTTGTAGTTTTGACATTTAATTGCGTAGAATTTTGGTCCACTCCGGCTGCCGTTCAGTTTCGGTTTCATCTTGCATGCAACCCTTTTCATTTAGTTTTAGTTAATCTCGTAGACGTTGCTTACAGTCACACCCATGTTTTAATCTCTCCTTTTAATGAATTTGTTCCAGCACACTCCAGAACTAGTATCAGTTTCTGACCTGCAGGTTTTTGCTCTTCCTGCTTACAAGCTATTCTTATTAATGAGAATGAGCAACAGCTGCAGGTCAGATGATTTTATATATATCGATTATTTGTTATTGTAGGCTGTAAAGCTGATATTAGGGCTGCATAATGTTGGGGAACACTCAAGATAGTTACATTTATTATCTTGGCCACCGTTATTTAAAAAAAAACAGGTGTGGTCATCAATAGTTCAGATGATTGGACAAACCTATCTATTGGCATACAGTTAGCAAATGCCAGGCACTTGAAACACAATAACTTGCTGTTTATTGCAGTCAAAGCAGTTCTTTTAAAAATACATATCCATTGCAATGACAATGTTTTTAAAATATTGTGCAGCCCTAGTTGATAGTAGTGAAAAACAAATTATTTTTAAATCATACAGCGTATTCTAAATGAATTTATCAAATTGAGACGTGCAAAAGTGGGAATTTTAGAATCATGTACAGTAATGAGATATTTTGTTAAACTGTTGCAGTAATGCTAAACACTTGATTACTACATATTGTAGCATTAGCCAGATGATTAGAAGTAAACTAACTTTCTTGTGAACTGTGTTTTGCTAACTTTGGCATATATCTATTTATTTACATTAAACATTAACAAAAGTCCTTGATGTTTTAATTTGAAAGAGTCCAGCTGCGGGCTGAGGCTGAGAGTCCATTGAGGCTAAAGATGACTGGCTAAGATGACTGGCTAAGATGACTGCCTGTCCCGTTTGGCCTTGGCTTTCACCTTACAATGTGTGTGTGACCTTTGCCCCCCCCTTGATCCTTGGCTGACCTAACCGGAAGCCATGATGACAGCAGCCTTTTGCCAATAGTCCAGGGGTGATGGTGAGGATTGCCATTGGTTTCTATGTTGACAGCAAACATGAGTGGATCGGCTCTAGTTAAGAACTTCAAATCTAAATTTCTGTAAGTGTAAAACTGCAAAAAAAGCAATATTTTTATAATTGTCACCCAGTAAAATGGGAGGTTCTAATAAATATGATGAATTCACTGTATCATTTAAGCTCAGATTTGCTGACCAGAATCTTTAACAGAAGCTCATGTGAATTCCTTCTTTCTTTTTGTGTTACAGGGTTCAGAGGTCTTGAAAGAACATCAATGTTCATTTGATAGTATCACAGATTATTGTACTAAAGTACGATAAGCTTTGTATTACTAAAAAGTAAGAGACAGTGGTGCTCTTTGTAGCAGGGAGCTATTTCTTACTATGAAACAAAGCAAACTTTAAGGAGCAAAATGGCTTCTAGATTGCTTATCTGTGGAGTAAAGTGGTATTTGAAGGACTACTTTTTATTTAAATAAAAAAAATATGTTTTCCTTGGAATTCGATTTGGCTTGTGTTTGTTTAACTGTCCAGTCAACGAGTACTGTAGCCTTTGTCAATATGTCTTCCTAATAAAACTGTATGCTGTTGTTTTTCAAGGTAGCGGTAGTGGTTACAGCAGCAGGAGCCGCTCAGGCCGGGATAAGTATGGACCACCAGTTCGTACTGAGTATCGTCTGGTTGTGGAGAACTTGTCCAGTCGCTGCAGTTGGCAAGACCTCAAGGTAAACAGAAAGGCACAATCTCTCCTTTTTAATTGGGTCAGTGTTACCTTTTCCTGAACAAAGTGACATTGTGAACACTTTAACAATGTTTCATTAATTTGTCCCGACAGGATTTCATGCGCCAGGCAGGTGAGGTAACTTATGCCGACGCCCACAAGGAACGTACCAATGAGGGGGTGATCGAATTCCGGAGCTACTCTGATATGAAGAGGGCTCTAGACAAGCTGGACGGTACTGACATCAACGGGCGCAAGATTCGATTGGTGGAGGACAGACCTCGCAAACGGAGGTCCTACTCCGGCAGCCGCTCCAGGTAAGTTTCAAGATTGGTATAAATATATTTCTGATTTGTTTTGTGGCCATCAGCTTTCTTTAAGTGTTAGGAATTGTCTATTTTGACTCTGTTTCTTTCAGATCTCGTAGTCGCCGCCGCTCCCGCAGCAGGAGCCACAGTCGCTCGAGGAGTCGCTCCAGGTCGCGCTCCAGGTGAGAGTTGGTGTTAATAAAAATAACGAGGGTGGTGTGATCGTCTGGCTTTAGCTAAACTTTGATCGGTGCAATCCTACAAACCCTAAAATGTGTCTCTCTTCTATTTTAATAGATCTCGCTCTCGCAGCAACAAGAGGAGACATCACTCCCGTTCCAGGTCTGAAAGGAAGTCTCGCTCCAAGTCCGGAGAAAGGAAATCGCGGTCTCGCACCAACAGGTCCCGCTCTCGATCCCAGAAGTCCAAATCCCATTCGCAGTCTCGCAAATCTCGTTCCCGTTCAGCTGAGAGGAAGTCGAAGTCCCGCTCGAAGAGTCGCTCCAAAGGGAAGTCGGAGAGGGATTCTCGAAGTCGCTCGAAGGAGATGTCGACCGACAAGAAGTCCCGAAGCCGCTCGGCTTCCCCGGTTGAGAACGGAAAAGAGGAACGAGCTGCTAAATCCGCATCCCGTTCTCCATCTCCACAGGGAGGCGATCGTCGGTCTAAATCGGGAGAGAAACGTTCGGTGTCTCGCTCAATGTCCCGCTCCAGGTCTCGCTCGCGGTCCAGATCTGCCTCTCAGGATTAGTGGAAGAGGAGAAATGTGTTTTTCGTATTTTTTTGAGCTCAGTTCATATTGCTGTACATAGTGAGCGGTGTTGTGTAATTACAGGCTTCTCATTTAGTCATCTTCTTTTTGCCACAGCTACTTTTGTTGGGAGTATTTTGAGAGCTGCCTCCTAATATCACACCTGCCACACCTGTTCCCAGTTGTATTGCAGGATTTTCAGTTTTGCCGACCCAACAGCTCTGGTTTAATAGTCGAGCTTTATTTTCTTTGAAATAAATGTTTTCTTAAAACATATTTTCCATTGTGATGATAAATTGTTGTATGAACGCTCCTTAAAAATAAAAATAAAATAAAACACTTTTTCTTTAAATTAGTGTTAACGCAGCTGAAAGCTTTCTTTTTGCTTGGAGCTGATTTATTTCATGCTCAAATGTGGAGTAGTTTTAGTAGTATGTGACCCACAGCAGTTTATTTGACCTTTAGCTTTTCTACAAATCAGCAGAAAATCTGTATTTCATTTTTAAACAGTTTGCCTCATATGTGCATATCCCTTTTAAACTTCGTGTATATAAACCAATTTAAAAAAGCAGAATTTCTTTGATTCTTTTTAGGTATTTGACTCACCTTTTGTTCATCAAAGTTGTAGAGCTTAAACATTTTTCTGGATTGATTGCAGTCCTAAATTATATTTTTCCCCCCTCATTTCAGGAGTTAAAATTACCCCCACAATGTTTTGCTTATTTAAAGTGTACCACTTATGAAAATAAAGTTGAAAGAGTGAAAACAATAAATGTGTGGGGAGGGTTTGTATTCTTCAGAAACATGACTTGCTGAAAGCAGCTTGATCTCGTTGAGTCATCCCCCTCAGTTACATATATAATGGAAAGTTGCATGTTTATAAAGATCCCAATTTAAAAAAATTAACTTGTCATTAAAAACAACCTTGGCTGCAGTCTCGATATGACCTAAATCCTGGTAATTACATAAGTATTGTTATTAAAGGGGAAGATTGGGTGTCAAACGAGTAAATGAGGCGCTTGCTCGCCGGGCTTTGACAGATATGCGGTTTAATCCAAGTTTCAATAAATAATATTGATGTAAAAGTGAAAACACTGCACTGTTTTCGGCGTTTAAAGCGGGGGGAATCTGATGGTCTGTAGCGCCTGTGCGCATGCGCAGTGAGAGCCCCGGAGCCGCAGGAGATCAGCGCTGGTAAGAAAAATTTCAGTTCCTAAAATCTATAAACGTCAAATATTTCCCTACTTATCAATCTCTGAAAACTGCTTGAAAGCAAAATAGTTTTCCCCACACGTCTTTTAAGAGTACAAACGTCAATTTGTGATGAATAATTGTGGCGTTTTTTGGATGTAATCAGTCACAAAGGTTTGCTTTTTTTTTTTTTTAAACCTGTGAGGAACATTTTGATTTGATGGCAGACGATGAATTGACGTAGCCGATCAGTCTCCCAAATATCATTTAAAAAGCGTTTTTTTCTCCTCATACTGACATGAAGTAACGCGTTATGTTACAGGGTTAAATATTATTCATTAGATATGAATGAGCTGAATAATTACAAGGTTAAATTTTATTTATATGGGTTTTTTTCTCTCCACAAGAAATCATAAATGTTTGGACATAATTTGCCTCATGGATTTCAGTTCCTCCGCCATTTTAACTGAAATGCTGTAGTTTTTGTGTGTTCGTAAATATTAGTGTGTCACCATTGGTGCCTCCTTTTATTGGAGATAATGGATGTTTGGTTAAAAAAAAGTATCAGACATGTTTGTTTTTCCATTTTAAAGAACAGAATAAAACAGTTTTCTTAATTTAAAAAAAGCCATTTATTATAAACTTAAAAGATTAAAGTTAGACAAAATTAGAGCTGGGGCTTAAAGGTAAATTCAGCTTTAAATTCAAATATATGTACATTGTAATAATTTTAAAGTGCCATTTTTTATGTGTAAACAGTATGAGAAGTGGTAAAAGCACGAAGATCAAAAGAAGTATTGGTTTTACCACCATGTGGTTACAATGGTCACCATTGTAACCACAGCTTGTGCAGGCCACACCCATGAGAGGCAGACAAAAGTGCGTACTGAAAAGTAAGCCTGAAAACAAACAGCTACCGTGCAAAAACTATAACTCAGATCTTAAACGTTCTTGAGCCACAAGCGGCAGGAAACTCTGCTGGGCGTGCTGGTCATTTGTTATGTTTCTGTGATGCTTTGTGTGGGAGATATTCTAAGCTAAAAAGACCCTCCATTTCAAGTTTTTAAGCGAGTAACACTGAATCCTTGGAAGTTTGAGACTGGGCACTCTGCATTCTGGAGGGATTTGAGAGGAAACCGTAAGTGCAATGGCAATGAGAGGTACTCGGTGTTAAAGAAAACAAAAAATACATAGGATTTGATGTATAAAATGTAGGAGCAAAAAGAGTTTGTTTTCAATTTTAAGTATGGAAAATGAGCAAAATTGTAAAAGCTGAACTGTGATTGTGCAAAAATGGTAAACGATATCAAAGTTGACATCCAGCTGTCTGCGACTTGTTTAAACACTGAATGTTGTTTCTACCCTGAAATATATTTGAGATTTTATACAGTAGTTTGCTGTGTTTTTCCTTGTTTGTAGATTTTTTTGCGGTGCTCAAGCACAAGACATAGGGACCCAAACATGAGTGCCAAAGTGACCGTGGAGGCTCCATCCAAAGAAGCTGACTGCACCCCTGTGGACCCATCGCCTTCGTCTGCCAGCGAGACCATCCTCATCTGCAGCGCCGACAGCATCGCCAAGAAAGCCCGGCCGCAGCCCCACACCACCGCCACCTTCCTCCTGCCAGGTGAGTTCACGTCTGAGTGTCCATGCCCTGCCACGCATTCTCAGATTTCAGTTTAAAGGCAGACAGGTTTTTATTTTATTTTTATTTATTTATTTATTTATTTTTCCATGAGCTCCTGGTCATCAGAAAGTGGAGGTGACTCCAGCCGTTGCAGTGGGAAACCCAGGTAAAGGCAGCAGACCCAATGAGTTGGCTACGCCGGCTCTGACAGCGCAGGTGGGCGGGGCTTGTAGCATCGTCCACGTCCTCGAGTGGAAGGAAGGGATGGCCATCCTGCCCAGTAGCAACCTCAAGGTAAAAACATGTTTCTGATTTAATACTTGAACGGTACACTGGAGTGGGAGCTCTGAATAATTTAGTCACAATTTTTATTATTATTTTTTTAATTATTAATGAAACTCCTGTCCATTACAAAGAGGTCAAAGAAACAAAAGCTGCTGGTAAAACATAAACACACAATAATTAGGAGAAAATCTCCCTAAAATCCTACATAATTTCTTTCTGGGGCTAAAAAAAATGAAGTTACATGTAACGTTTTGATGAACAGTTTTAACAAAACAACTTAAATAGATCAAAACAGGAGACTGTTTTGATCGGTTGCAATGATGTGTATGTGTGTGTGTGTGTTGTAGTTTTGTGTGAGTGACGTAGGAACTCTGAGCACACTGATAACCCCAGGGACCAAAAGTGGCACTACTGACCCAGCAGCAGGGACTTCTGGGAAATCAGCTGATCCAGAAAGTGCTCCAAACAAGCCGGGTAAGACTGCGGAAGAACAGAAGAAAAATTCTTGTTTCTTGAGAATGTTTTGTCTTAAATGTCTAAGGAATTTTTTTAAACGAAATTATTTAAAACATCTTATTTATTTATTTATTTTGCCACACTTGACATTTGTTGAATCATAAAGTATTTCATCAGGAGATCAGGTGTTCTCCAAGTAACTCAGTGATAACAATAACGAAATTATAGCTATTTTGTTTTTGAAAATAAATACGCGCAATTTCATGTGATATGTTAGCGCTCAAAGTAAGTGTTGTGAGTGACTCTCAGCTACTACCATGCCAAAATTTAGCTCAATATCTGTAAAAGCAGTTTGATTATAGCCATTTATGTTTTGGTTATGATTAATAAGCTGTGGCAACCGTTTTAATTGGTTTTGGGGAAAGAAGCGGTTTTTAGTTGACTTCCTTGTCATGTGTCCCAGAAGTGTTGGCTCCTGTCGGGTCCCTGAGGGCTGCAGCTGTGGAGCCAGAGAAGTTGATCCAAGTCAAACCGGAAGTCCAGGTCGTACTGGAGCATCAGAACCATGATCCCAGAACTCAGAGGAGCTACGCTGAAGAACTACGCAGGGACCCCCTTTCTGAGAAGTATGTTCCAAACGGCTGCTTCGCCTTTACGTAACACACACACCTACTATGTCTCTCTATTCTTGTGGGGACTTTCCATTGACTGCCATTCATTTTTTTGGAAATTTTATATCCTAACCCTGACCATTTACCCTAAAATTAACCTCACGGGTACCTTACCTGACCCAAAAACTAACCTAAACTCAATTCACACCTTGGTCCTAAACATAACCACCAACCCACCAATGACATTTAAACCAAATGGAGACTCGACTTTTGTCCCCAAATGCGCCAGTTGTCCCCAAA